GTCGAAAGACGAGTCGAGGAAGTCGTTCACGAGCACAGGGAACTGGAGAAGAAAGTGCGGACAAAGGAGGAGGTAAGTGCATGCGCAGTAAGCACAACTGGCTTACGAGTTGACAAAGGCTCTTCTCTAGAGGCAAATCTTTGTTTTCGTGTTGGGTGAAAAATTAGCGCAGATCGACTGCTGTTGTCTGAGTGACCGCGTTTGAGAAAATGTATATACGATGTAAATGCGTTGAAGCCTTTAACCCTTTGAATACCAGCTACGCATATGTGCGTAATTAATGGTCGTGCTCTTTGTACCACTTGTGACGTCGTCAATTTAAATGTCATCAAATATTCTTGATAAGCAGATAGTAGTACTAGGCTAGGCCTTTCCGCACAATGGTCAGGTTTAGATATCGACGACATTCCGAATCCAAATTTTGGCTTATGCGCATGCCCGGAATTGAAATTTTGCACAATTTTGTACCTAATCCTCGAAAAATCTCTCCTTTTAGTAAAAAGAAGCTTTCTTAGCAAACCTTAGGCTTATTTAGCGTCATAGCAGCTAAAAAACCTGACTAAACGGTTAAAAACGGTATTTTGGGGCGAAAGTTTGGTATTCAAAGGGTTAAGAGAAGAGCTCGTATGCACAGGAAAACAAGGCAAAACTGAGATTATATACTTCCATTGATCTCTATATATTATTTAGCTTCTACATACAAGGAAAGTACCAACTTCACTTTTCAGTGTCGAATTCCTGCTTTTCAAGCCTGATTTTGTAAACAATCCATGTTTACAAATTTTTCATACATTGTCAATCTATCAGAACAAAGAAGTCAATTCTGAGGTATCTTGTTTATCTTGATCCAACACCAGTTTCTCAAGATTAATATTGCAAGGTGTGTAAAGTATTTAGCAATGAGATTAGATACTCCAAGCTAGCAACTAAACGAGTTAAACTTCTGAAACTGAATATTAGGGTTTTTTTTTTTACATTGCCCTTTCCTAAATACAGAAGTTTCCGGCCTCGTTGAATTACTTGAAGTAGTAGGATTTGAACTCGCGACCTTTTGATTTCAATTCCGCCCACACTCTTCGTTCATGGCAGCTCTTCACAATAATCCACTCGAAAACAGAAACAATAATTTCCTTTCCCAGTGGGATGAACAAGAATAAAGCTCTTTGAGATATTACGCCAGCTGTGCTGCCCATCCATGTGGGAGATCTTGCTATACTTAGCTCTTACACTGACGCACAAGGGTTAAAGTTAAAAAACAAATTTGGAATCTAATATGTCCTCTACTCTTTACTGATTGCTTTTTGTGTGGTTTCACATGGCTTGGTTTTCGTGGGAATTTTCTGGTAATTATTTGTTAGTATATTTAGGGAAAATCCAGTCTTGTTGCAGGACAAAGGTTGATGAAATCGTTTTCGAGCGATTTAGTTTCTTTAATTTCTGTGCATTGATTGTTGTCAAAGTTTAGTTCCAAATAATTGAACGTTGACTTAAACAGGAATTTTGAGCTTTTATTCAGGTTAGTAGACTCGAAACGTTTTTTTTTTAAGCGACGAAAATCACAAGAAAGTCATATAGTTGTTATTTGTCTTGATAAACATGGAAGCACAAAAGGGTGGATTTGATGGCTTGCAATGACCTGTAAACAAGCTCACAAGTAGTGTAATTTTGGCAGCTTGTTATAATGGCAGGATCGCGTGATTGCGTCGAACGAAATCCTGAATTCTAGCATATTTATTGAATGGGGATAGTCACCTCGCCGTGCCTTGAAAACAATTGTCTCTTCTTGTCTCACTGTCAAACTTGAGGACATCCGGGAAGATCCCCAACGTGTAATCTTAGTTTTCGTTGACCCTCTTTTTGTATTTCCGGGATATCAAGAGAAAATCTGAACAAAAACAACACAGTTCTCTTCAGTAACACTCGATTGCTTTTTGTGAATTCATTGTTTTATCCTTTTGATAACTATGAATTTTGATCTGAAATTGATATTTCTGCTCTGATTTTTCCAAGGTTTTGTGAAAGTGGTCGATAAAATTCGTATTTTTTTGGTTAGTGTTTATTTTACCCTGCTGTGATTTTGTTCCTTAACTCTTTTAAGCCCAAGATTGAACCATCAATTCTCTCCCGTTATCTCTACACATTTCTTGTGGTCTTAGATATGAGAATTTATTTGTACTGATTGTAATCACCTGTCTGCTTCACTAAACATGGATAAATATTACAAAGAGAAATGATATGTCTGATCGCACTTGAGGAGTCAAGAGTTTAATTCATGAGAAGTTGAAGCGATTTCAGTGTTGTTTCATAAATTTCACAAACTTACTTGACAATGTTTCTTACAGGTAATCTGGCGATATTTCAATGGTTTATCTTTCTGGGTAAATTTCTCTTCTGACCAAGTTATTCTTAACAAGCAGATGAATAACAATTTGGTCGATTTTTTTTTTTGAACACAGCTTTCATTATTGGCTGGTCAAGGCATGAATTAATTGCTATACAGCAGGATTCAAAAGTGACCTTTTTTTGTTTAACCTAATACTTGCTGTTTCACGTCGACTTAGCAATCATTAAGCCATAAACAAAATCTGCATTTTATTCTTTCATNACACAGCTTTCATTATTGGCTGGTCAAGGCATGAATTAATTGCTATACAGCAGGATTCAAAAGTGACCTTTTTTTGTTTAACCTAATACTTGCTGTTTCACGTCGACTTAGCAATCATTAAGCCATAAACAAAATCTGCATTTTATTCTTTCATTGGGTTTCGTTCCGTCGGCCCTCCCAGATCTTGCACAGATAAGCTGCGACATCTGTTGTGATTCTCGTTGGATTTATTATTCCAGCGGCGTTGCTGCAGTGTTTTGATTGCAGTCAAAATTATCGCTTCGGTTATTCCGCCTGATTTTGAAATGACTTAAGTACAACTCCGTGGTAATTTGGAAATTTTTTCCGAGGAATGCGATATCCGACAGAATCGAAAGGTAACCGATTAGTTCATTCTTTATAGTGACTTGAATTGACGGTAAATCTTTAAACTTTAATACGTATTTTTACGTTTTGGATTGCGAGCTTGAAGAATTGTAATTCTAACAACTTACATTGGGAAAGAATTTGAAAGCCGTGTTCTTGAGTTTTTGTTTTGCAGTGGCAGCTTTTACAAACGTTTTCGTCGTCGCTGTGAAATGAAAACTTGTGCCAAATTATTTTGTGACTTAATATTTATTTCTCAGTGTTAGTTGTGGTCGTAGGTGAAAAGTTGTTTTTTTGTTACTTTTGTTAGCTATTACGGGAGAAAGCTACGAAATTTTTGACCGCTTGAAAATTCTGGCTCAACACACTTGAGTTAGTGTGAATGTGATACACATTGAATATCAACATGTTTTGGTCAAGAAAGAGAATGCCTGTCTTTTAAGTCTGTTATCTAGCAGTCACACAATAAAGCAAAAACTCAATTGGATTCCTCGAAATCCGTTTTTTATCCTGTGTTTTTTTGTGGAAAGTATATTATTGTAAATTTTCAGGATGTCATATTATCATAAGCGACTTGTTACAAATCTACAGTATTAATTTGAAGTGGATTAAGTGATTTTGTTGTTATTTATTTTAATTTCAAAGGGACCCGGTAGTAAACTTTTTGTGTGATATCAGCGACTGGAGTGTTTTGTCTTTGTCTTATCTTTTGATAAGGTGAAACATATCTAGGTTATTTCGGGTTATTCTTGATGGCGCTGTTAAAAATCTTTACCGAAAGTCACAACACTCATAAATCATGTGAGGGCGTGCGCGATGTTACGTACACAGGCTACGAAAATGTCTACGTATGTGAACTTGGCGGCAAAGTCACGCGATTGACCATCAAGTGGCGTGACACAACACATGCCAAGGATTATTTCTGTCACGAGATAAATATACTTCCTTCCAACCGCGAACGTGGCTGTGAGTTAGCTACTGCGCTCGTCAAAGGTTGTGTCTTGTGAAAACTTGTCTGGGTTGATTTGAAATAGAGCATTTCCAAAATTCGATACAGTGACACTAAGCTGTTTGGTTTTTAGGCATTCCGTGAGGCTTTGCCGTTAGCTGAGCGACTCGAGAGTGATATGAGCAGCCTGGAGAACTGGCTGGAAGACAAGACAAGTGATGTTAAGAGGAGAGAGGAAGCAGGATTCCCAGAGGATGTGGACGCCGAGATCAAGTGGAACAAGGTTGGTTTGGCGCATGGTTTAATCTTGTGTATTTTGTGGCGTAGAGTTTCCCGTCGATCTAAAGCGCTAGCGTCACGTAATCCTATTGCTAAGGATGAGACGCATTTCGTGATTCGATAAACAACCGCAGGGAATTGAGACAGATCCGCGTCCGAAATGATCCGCAGTGAGGTTCTAAGCAGCCCACAGGAAGATACATTGAGTTTTTTCAACAAAGCGCGAGGATGGGATTTGCAGATTATCTCTCGTTTGAACTTGCTTGTAAGCAAATATAAACTGTTCCCGACCCTAGGCTGTGGTGTAACGACTGCGGCATTTTGATCCATAATATTAATTCGTTCCTTTCTACCAATGCCCGTAGTTTTTCAGTGAAACAATTCGTGCTGACAGCCTCTAATCCAATATCACAGTGTTTACAAGAAATACTATAGAGATGCGTCCTAATCAAGGCTGTATTTTATCGTCACGAAACGAAGCGACTTTACTGAAGCTTTCACACTACTTGTGTGGAAAAAACAAGAAGAGTATTTTTCTTTTACGAGAGGAAAAAAAAAATGCCTGAAGGTTTTATCTTGGTGTATGAATCTCCAAGCCGGCATGTTAGGTACTACAAGGTAGTGTATTGATCCGTCCAACCTAATTTGGGATCAAGGATGTCTGTTGTGTTAAATCTTCACCGTTAGGTCGTATAAATGTTTGATCGGAAAAATAGGACTGTTTTTTTCATCGATAATCTACATGCACCTGGTTTTACAGTGTGTTGGTGTGGCGTTTAAAAGCTCAGCTTGACTTTCATAGTTTGTACTCCGAGTCATTACTCTTAATTTCCTATTGAAACGTGGATGTATTTTTTTTTTCCACCAGGGACTTGTACAAGAGGTTACAGGAAAAATGTCAGATGTACAGCAGCTTACACAAGTTGGCCGAGAGTTAGTAGACTTGTCCGAAACAGGCCAACTGGAGAATTTAGAAGACAGGTTAACCCGTATCAACAATGCTTGGGAGGATTTGAGCTCGGCCGCGGAACAGAGGATGCTGACTTTGCCTAAGTACAAGGCAAAGCTTGCTGATTTCGAGAAGTCTGTGGATCAGATGAACCAATGGCTGGAAGATATGGAAAAGGAAACGAGCAAAGTTCACCCCAAAGAAGAGGAGGTTGATTTGGCCAAAAACAAAATTGATGTGAGTGTGTTTATTGGGATTTTAGACTTATCTCTCTAAGCTGCATGAGTGATAACATCTCATTTAAACCGACAATATAAGTTTGTGGTTGAGAAGACTGGCGACAAAAATACAGAACATTATCAGCCAGGGGTCATTGATTTGATATACCTCCAAATTCTCAGAACTTAAATGATCAAAAATGCATGACAATCGGTACCTTTTAGTTATTGATGGATAGTCTGAAATACGTGATGCCTTTTGTTCTCGTCTATGCATTTGCCTCTACCCTAAGTCCGTTCGTGGTATTTAATTATGTAAGCGATATTGCTTTGGAACTTCAATCGATTCGTCTACACCATTTCTCGATTCTTTTTACCTGAGGAAAAAAAAAAGCGATTTGACTCGCTCTAACTGCAAATATTCTGGAAGTGTTCTGGAATGCGTTAGTATTTGAGGTCTCATCCAAGGGGAGTTTGCATTGATTTTAACATCTTTAGAAGCTCACTAGGTCTAGATACAGGATGGCAGCGACTCACATTGTGCCACGCAGTGTGTTAAGATATCTAGTCTAGAGCCTTTAATTCACCAACTTGTGATTACTCTTCAAGAATATAAAGTATAGAAAATCTGAAGTGTTAAGTACTCAATATTCCTCACACCTTATTTATATCGGATCATATAAAAACTCTGGCTAATTAATTGAATACGCGAGGCTCAATACCATGCAGATATTGGCTTATATACTTGGCATGGTCATGAGATAGGTAGCTAATTTTGGCATTGTTTAAGTGAAGGTCAAAAGACAGACCTAGGCTAAAGGAAGTCATTCAATAATGGTCTCATTTTGCTAAACGTTAACCCAAAAATGATAGCAACGCATCAAGATTAGAAGTTAGGACGACAAAAGATGACGCGACGGAAAAGGATTACAATATTATCATAACTGATCATGTCGAAATTACTGCGCAATTTCACTTTAAATCTTGTTCTATATTTTCAGTGGGATAAGTTATTGTTTCGTTAATAGAGGGGATATTGTTTACCTCTTGGGATAATAATACTCTGTGCCAGAACTTTCTTTACTTAAGCATGCTATTTGCAGTTTTTTGGTTGTCAGCCGAATGGGCGACACGAGTTCCCGGAGGGTCCCCATCCAGGTGTCCCGCGCGCGCTTCACTGATGATCTCGCAAAACCGCTTTCCAGACAAGACCGAAGTTGTGCCTAACTCCCATGTTTGACAAAAAAGAGCTTTTTTTGTGCAGGCGTAGGCATATTCATAGACATACTCTCTTTAAATTTGCAGACGATCCGAAAAGCAAAAATGTGCACTCTCTCCCCCGTTCCCTTTTGAAAAAACGCATTAGCTTACATGGGACGGTTCTGTTTTACGGTCTCTCCAGAGCGAGATCTGGGTACGAGTTTAGTCTCTCCCCAGTCCTTCTTGCTTTTCATAGGAAAAATAGTAATAATTAATAATTTGATAATAATTAATACTTAAATAATAATTAGTAATTTAATAATTGTTGTAGCGTTATTAACATACACTGATCAATAACGCTTTACAATTCACTAGAGACTAAGAGTCAGTTGGAGGTTAGGGACTTTTACCGAATGAGCACGCTGTTTATTTGCTTTCAGGAAATACAAGAGAGCATCAAAAACCGCGAGCCACAACTTAACCTGATCAGGAAACAGAGCGGTGAGTTCGTTCATCGTGGTCGTCAGATCATGGAGCCTTACAAGCGACTTCTTGACAGGCGCTGGGACGATCTCTCGGCGCGAATCGGTCAACTGGAGGAAGAATTAGAAGACACGAAAAAGAGAGCAAAGGAAGCGAGAGCTAAAGGAGGACGAGTGGAAACTGAGATTATCGTCACGGTCAGATAAAAAACCCCATGCCTCTTTATGTTTATAGACCCCGTCCATACTACGCTGGAGGAATTTGAAAACGCAGCTTTATTTCTACGGTTAGGCCTAACGTCCACACTAATCCATGACGAAAACGGAGCTTTTCGAAAATGCTCTTCAAACCGGAGGAATTTGAAAACGCCGGCGTTGCGTTTTAGTGTGAACGATGGCGTCACGATAATCAGGTGATTTCCAGTCCCTGCTCGAGTTTTTTTTTTTTTCCAACCACAAAATCAAAAATGACCGGTGATTGACTACGTTTTCAAATTTCTATGGCGTAGTGTGGACAGGGCCTTGAGCTTGAACGGTGCGGTCGCATTTCGATGTTTCCGTTCTTGCACGCATAAACCGAATGCTTTTTGAGGGACATTTATGTTTGCAAAAACTTTTATTTGACTCACTCGGCGTTTTCCGGGTTTGCCATGCGCTTGTGCTGATTGGTCAGCGACGTCATTGACAGCAACGGTGATTGGCTGAAATATTTTCAGTGATGATACCCTAATGGTAATAATAGGGAGCTTACGAATCGACGACGTTCGGACGACGGCGCCGTTGGGTCACCTTATAGTCTCGCGTCGTCGTCCTGTAGAAATTTGAATTTACGATTCGCAATAAAGACGACGACGTTTATGCGCGACCGGCAAATTTTTTTTGTCTCAGGAGCTC